TTGGTTGAGTCCTGGTCCAGAGGTTTGCCAATTTTGTTTACTCTTTCTAAAAACTACAACTCTTGGTTGTATTGATTTTTTTCTATTTTTTAATTTGTTTTTATTTATTTTCTCCTTGATGTTTATTATTTCTTCCCTTCTGTTGACTTCAGGTTTTGTTTGGTTTCTTTTTAAGTTTTTAAGTGATAGACTGGGCTGTTTATTTGAGATTGTTCTTGTTTTTTGAGGAAGATCTGTAGTGATATGAATTTCCCTCCTGTTACTGCTTTTGCTTCATCCCATAGATTTTATGTGGCTGTGTTTTCATTGCCTTTTGTCTCAAGGTGTTTTTTAATTCCATCTTTGATATTGTCATTGATCCATTGTTTTTTTTTTTAAGTAGCATGTTGTTTAGTCTCCATGGAATCATTAGTTTTCTCATTTGTTTTTCTGTGGTTGATTTCTAGTTTTATTCCCATTGTGGACAGAAAAGATGCCTGAAATAATTTCTATCCTCTAAAATTTGTTGAGGCTTGTTTTGCATCTGAGTATGTGGCCTATCCTAGAGAATGTTCCATGTGCACTTGAAAAGAATGTATATTCTGGGGGGGGGCTGGATGTGATGTCATAAAAATATAAATTAAGTTTAGCTGTTCTATTGTGTCATTTAGGATATTTGTTGACTTATTGATTTTCTGTATAGAAGATCTGTACATTGAAATTAGTGGGGTGTGAAAATCTCCTACTATTGTTATATTCCCATCAATTTCTCCCTTTCTATCTGTTAGTCTTTACTTATGTATTTAAGTGCTCTCATATTGAATGCATATATGTTAATGAGCGTAATATTCTCTTCTTGTAATGATCCTTTATCAATAAGTAGTGTCCTTTTTATCTTTCTTTATGGCTTTCACTTTAAAGTCCTTTTTGTCTGATATAAGTATTGCTATTCCACTTTCTTTTCATTTCAATTTTTATGTCATCAGTTTGTCATTTCTTTTTCCATTCCCTCACTTTCAAACTATGTGGGTCTCTTGTAGGCACCATATTGTAGGCTCTTGTTTTATTATTCAGAGAAATTAGCTGATAGCTTCATGGGGTTTAACTTGTACATGACTCTGTTTTTCTCTTGCTGCCTTTAGAATTCTCTCTTTATCTCACTGAACACAGATCATCATAACAAATATAATAAAAATGAAAAAGTTTAAAATATTGCAAGAATTGCCAAAAACTGACAGAGAGACATGAAGTGAGCAAATGCTGTTGGAAAAATAGTGCCAATAGGCTTGCTCGATGCAATGTTGTGACAAAGTTTCAATTTGAAAAAAAAAAAATGAAGTATCTGCAAAGTGCAATAGAGCAAAGCACAATAAAATGAGTTGTGCCTGTACAGTCATGTTTTCTAGTGTATAAACAAGCCTATCTAACAATATCTACTTGTATTTTGGACCTTGTAGATGATATATCATGGAAATTCTGGATTTTATTATATAATCAGTGTGTCAAAGATCATGCAATGACTTGTCAGACACAAGATTGACCGACTTACTTGAAAGAATAGAAAAAATACTTTATAGAGAGGTGTGCCCAAAATACTAGCTCCAAATGGACAGCTGCTGTATTAAAATTCCACTTAGCATTTTCCTTGTAAGAAAATGGTGAAACAAGAACAACCCAGTGGTCAATACTCCACACCGTCCATCTGTTTTTCACTGTGACGAGTGGATTTTAAGTTGATCAGAGTCTTGGCAGAATGACACAAATTAATTAGAGTAAGAAAAGAATGTGAAGATATTTGCATACTGCCCCAATTAGCAATAGAGTGAATCTACTGCAAATGAAATTCTCAATAAACAAATGGACAAGATGATCATCTTGTGGCTTTTCTCTAGCCTTTTGAACCCCATTCCACTGGACAAGGAAGCAGAGACTTGCTATAGAGGGTAGAGTTACTGATAGCAGTTTTCATGGTAATATTAGGTTGTTGAGGATTAAGAGAGCTATGCATGGAACACTGGTGATTCATTCAGGAGCTTTCCAGGATCCACGTCTTCAGTGATAATATTCAATGAGTAACACCTGTAATACTATGGAGACAGGGTTTTGGATACAGGGGCAATAAAGCTTTGGGTCATGTTACCAGTTAACAAACTCAAATAGCAAAAATAGACATGGAGTAAGTAATTAAGAAGGACGTTATAATGATCAAGTTTGGCCGCATAATCAGCTACAGCTACACAGACAGCGACTCTGCATATCGTCTCCTTTCTCCCTACCTTTCACAGTTCCCTTGTGTAAGGAGGACTGTTTGTATAAGGAGTATTACAAAGTTCCAAATGGAAGCTTACTCCATCACTCTTGTAGGCTGAAGGATCTTTGTGCCTTTCCTTTGTTAGACATGAGACAATGTTTATCAGTGTGAAAGGCAACAATGCATGCTACCTGGGGGAATAAAAAAGTAAAACCTGTAGGTTATTCTTGATTTGTGATCCCTCCCACCCAATCTCTTTTTCGTCTCTTTCTGCTCTGCTCCCCAGGCTTCCCTTTTCTGCTGTCTACCCGGTGGATCGGTCAATGGGCAGCATACAAAAAAGGAAGGCAAGTGCCAGAGCATTTGCATATTCTCATAATGCAAAGCCACCTTAGTCCATTTCAGATTACCAACAAGAAGTCACTAAAGGCTGAGTTCAGAAGAAACGTGCAAAACTGGCTCAGAGCCACTGCTGGCTAGCTTCCATGCTCCACCTCCAAGCAGTGAAAATGGCTTCCCGCTGTTGCTAGTCTTTAGTTTCTTAATCATTCTTTCCTTGAATTTTATTTATTTCTTGTTTTCCTCTTAAACCTGTCCTCACCACTGTAAATCTCTTGAACCATCTGAAATGATGCTTGTTTCATGCCAGAATCCTAATACAGTAAATCTTCTTATCTTTGTATCACTATGATTTTGCAAAATACTTTATTTAGTTCATAAAAGATGTTTGCTAACTTTACTTAATGAATCAATATTAATATGAACTGTGATAGGGAGAAGAAAACTCCCAAGAAATTTGTGGGTGGTAAATTTTCCTCACTCCCAATACAGTTTAAATTCAAAATTTAAAGTATTCTGAGAGCAGTAAAAATAATAATAATAATAATTTATAACACTTTTATAAAAGCAACAAATAAACAAAGTATTTTGTAAATTTTTATTAATTAGGAATCAATAAAAACATGTATTAATAAAACAGCTCCTATGTATTAAACTCACAGATATAACTCTTCTCAGATGAACAGTTATTACTAAAAACATAATTTCCTTCTGCATATGCACAACTATGGTTTTCCATTTTCAGAAATTTTAATCTGTAAGAAAAAAATTAAGAAACCAAGTGTGGTTCCAAATGCAGATTAACTCAGCCTTAAAATTAGCAAGAACAAAAAAATAAGAAATAACAACAACAGCAAAAAAAAACTAGTCAAAACAAGAACGAAACATCCTGAAGACTGATCGTCTTTAATTATAAAACATTAAATTTAACAGAAAATATTAGACAGTACCTAATCCTATACTGTTTAAGCAGAATTATAAGTCCACTGACAAATGGAAAGATATGATAGAAGATCATAGGTTTATAAAGTTGCCTAAAACTATGCACAAATTTCTCCTAAGAGTCCAGTAAAGTTAAAAATGTGAAGATCCTAATGGTGAGGTTATTTAGAAAGAGCTGGCATCGTTCTCTGTTATAGCCCACAGGCTGTTCCTCAAAAAACATAATGCTTTCTTTTTTCTTGGTTTCACTTCATCTGCCTCACACAAGTAACACACACACACACACACACACACATTTCCTTATACACTCAGAAAAGTTCAGTTATCAAATCACTGTACTTACAGGCTTTCGATTACTTTGGTGCCATCTTCCCATAACCAGGACATATCGGTTTTATTGATTTTGAGACCTACCCATCCTCTCATTTGAAACATTGACAGAATTTCCTACTGGGAAAAATCATAGATTAGAACTGTGGGCCTATTATAATCCACTTCTTCCTGGCTCAAGGGTTACCGATAGCAGGTCTCCCAAGGACTTGCGTACATTCACTTAGTATTCATTAGATTTTTCTCAAGACATTGTCTCATTTGTTAATGTGGTTTTCTTCTAGCATTAAACGTTCAGATAGTGAAGGTTCTCTAATTTCTCCCTAAGAAAACTGAGTCAAAGTAAGGAAACATCATACACTTCTAAGAACCTTCAGATTTCCCAAATTACAGCGCTACCTCCCACTGCTTTCCAACCAAACATATAGTATAACACAAAAGCAGACGTGTCTGCCTTACCAGCTCTTCATTGGTATCTATCTTTAGAAGGTGGGCATTCAGCTCTGCACAGGCAGCATGGCTGTCTGCCCAGCTTTTGGGTGTATTGTAAAGATGATAAAAACTGTTTCCAAATCCAATCCAGTGGGTTGAACAAAGATCACAGGGACATTCTAGAAAATGTAAACAAATTTGTACTTTGTACCATGAATATCTATTATTAATTACTATATCTTTGCGTTTTTTATGCAGACTGATATTTGATATAAAGCAAAACTTCATGCACTTTTTAATAATACTTCTGGGCAATTTTTACACAAACCATAGTTAATAATACTTAATGTTTAGCTCATATTTTCTATTTTTCTACTTAAAATTTAATATAAAATTTTGCTATAAGGAAAATCCATTTCAAATAAGATTATTATCAGTTTTGACATGCTTAAAATTATATTTGCATATTTAAAAGGCTAAAAAACAGATAATCTTATGAGCACAAAAAAAATTAATGAACTATTCCAACTTTGTCTAAAATTTTTATTATGATTTTAAACATACCAATCCTGATCACACAGGGAAAGTAACTTAAATTCCAAGTGTGTCTGCCTAAGACTTTACAGAAAGGTCTTTATACTCAGCTAGAACTTGAGCTAATAGAGAGATTATTTTCTTGATATCCTCCAGCTTTACACAAGAAACTAACTTTTAACTCTCTTGCTCAAGTTAAGCAAAGGCCTCATTCTCTATTTCTCTTGCAGCTGTTCAGTCCAGACTATATTGTTATTAAGATTGAAAATAACCCCAAATAGTGGTCACTTCACAGTCAGGATACCACTCTGGTTTCAAGCTTTCTCTCCATTTTTGGCCCCTTCTGACTTCCTCTGTTTTATTGGAAACCTAGATGTTAAACTAAAATTTTAATTAGGAAAAAAATTGTATCCTTCTAGACATTTGGAGCTGGGCAGAAGGAAAATGTAAACTGGCTTCAAACACATAAAGAGAGATGCCTGAGCTGGGAGTACCATCCGTTAGATAAAAATTAGAGCAGAAACTCCACCTTTTTCTTCTGCCTCTCTCTCTCTCTCTATTTTAGTGCTCAATTAATGATGGAGATTTGTATAAACTTGCAATAAGTGAAAAAAAGAATTAAAAACAAACAATTTTCTATATTATGGCCGTTATACCCGGATGTATAATAAAAATTAATGTAAAATGTATATGCTTGTAATTTCATAAATGCTAGAGGAATCATCCCAGCAGAGAAAGCTGGAGGGAAGGCGTGGTTGATGAGACACAACTCCCTTGCTTGTCGCTTGTTTTCTCTATTCTTTTTGACCCCCTTCACCTCTTTCTCTCGCTCCTTCCTCAATATAATTTACATTTTTCTCTTAATAATAATTAAATCACAAGCCATACTTATGTGCACAAGACTTCAGGACTTTTCACATTCTCCTATGTCATCTTTCTTATTTGTCCCAGTATGAGTATTTCCTTCATAAAACATTGAACATGCAATAACATGGCATTCGTCTTTCATGATTCACTCAGACTTTTTGAATGTCAGGAAAGCAAACACTTAGACCCAATAATCAATGTTAGAAATGGCCTGAACAGAGTGAATACTCACCACCATTTGGAGAAGATAGAGTGGGAATAGGTGAGATTTTCCCATTTTCATCTTCTCTGCGAGAAAATGCTATGGCAAAAATCATGGTAGTAATTAGTTCTGTTTAGGATAAAATAAAACAATGTAAAAATTCAGCTTGATAGCAAAACATTGAAATGTGTTCTGTTGCTGACATACTGATTGTAATAACAGATTATTTTCTTAATTACTTACTATTTGCAAGCAGGATCCCAAATGTCGCCATCAAGACCACACACAAGACCCCTAGACTCCCAGCTGTCACTTGCCACGCTCTAGATTGGTAGTCTAACATTAAAGAAAACAGAAATAATGATTAAGTGTTATCATTTCCCACAAGTCACCAAATATAAAATTTAAGACCATTACATTTCACTCTTAGAGGGCAAACATTCATTTTCTAATTCTTGAATGTGTTTATCCTGAATAAAACTGTTTCTCAGCCACATCATTGAGAACCCTAGTTTATTGGTATCCAAATTCCCTTCCTATTAGATCCTTCTTGACCTCACTTCTTTCTTATCCTGCTGAGGCCCAGGGTATGTCACCTGAACCAACATCACCAGCATCTTTAAGCATCCTTTGCCTAGTATTCTACAAATTATCAACTCTGAGCAATCAGAAAATATTCTCACTGCTAGTAAACTTAGAAGTGAAATATACCTAGAGAAAATAGTATTGTCATGCAAATAAAAATATTAATTCCTAAATTCCATGTGAACACTAACATTCATTTGTTAGCCAGTTAAACAAGCAATATATTAGTCAAGGGGGAAAGAACAAAATACATTTTTTCTTTTTGTTGAAAGTAACAAATAATTGTGATAAATCTTATAAAGAAATAGGAGAATGTTCATCAAGTTTTACCCTACACATGAGAATGGAACATGCTTCTATCCAAAAATGAGGTTGTACTGAAGGTTGGAGGAAAGTAAGAATTGATAACATCTTTCAGTAAAAGGGGCATTGGTGGGGGAATGTTTTCCACTCAGAGAGGCAGCATCTCAAAATGCTCTTAGGTGTCAGGAAGCTCGGTGCATTCACGGAACTGAAATCACAGACTAGAACTCTAACTCCATAGAATTATAGAGCAAAGGAGGGAGTGGCTAGAGAGAGAGCGCCTGTGGGACTATAGGGTTATTACTAATTTTTTAACTTTATGAACAAGCAGACATCTTTGCAAGAACTTGTTTTAAAAAGTCATGATCATTTTGCTTGAAAGATAAAGAAAGAATCGAATGATGCCTAGAGTGAAAGATGAGATAATTTGGGGAGTCTGTTTCAGTAATCTTGGCAAAAACGGATGGACTGCAACAGTAGAGAGGAGAAGCAGGTTGGACTGAACACATTACACGTCATGATGACATGAGTGTGTCCAAGAGGAGAGTGAGGAGTCAAACTTTCCTTCCAGGTTTAGAGATTAAGCAATGAGGGGGCTAAGTATGAACACGTCCACTCTTCTGAGTTTTGTCCAACTTCTGCCCAAAGTCCTTTTTTGATTATTAAAAAATTATCAAAATTTTTGGATATTATATCAATTATAATTGAATCACCATGCTGTACACCAGAAATTGACACAACATTGTAAACTGACTATACTTAAATAAAAAAACAAAACAAAACAAGCCTCTCTGAACCTCTATCCAAACCCAAGAATTTTCTCTTATTTTACCAAGGAAGTTGAGGCCATAAATTTCCTTAACTTGCCCATCCCCACACTTGTGTGTATATATACACATATATACAGTCATATGTTCCTACCTTATTGTCCTTGTCTTCTTTTAGCTTCAGAGGATGAGCATTTCTCTCGGGCTCAAGCAAAATCTTTCACATGTCCTATTGCCTCCATGCCACCCAGTCTCCTCTAGAACATTTATTCACTAAGGGAAGTTTGTATTTTGCCAATCTCTTCATCATTTCTTTTTATAAACTTTGTCAGATTAGTCTGTACATGATCTCTCAAAATCTAATTTAATTCTTTGTCTTTCTTGGTTCAAGTGTTTCACTTTTTATTGACATTTCTCTTACTTTTTCGGAGAAAATTGTAAACATGTTTTCTGGAGTCATTTTATCCCCTTTATTAAATTTCTTCCAATGCCCTAACTCCTAGTTGTAGTTCAGATGCTTTGCCCCATAATCAAGCAAAAACCCCAACTGTTAAACCCAAGGAAATAATTTCCACGTATAACTTATGAGACCACTGGTCTTAATTTGACATAGTTTATTTTCTCCTTCTCTCTGGACATGTATTCACACATACCTTCCTCAGTCTTCCTCTGCTCAAGTCTCATATATGGCTTTTGTCTGTGATAGACTTTTCACCCACACGTCTCTATTTGCAATCTTACCTACTCACTTAAGTCTTTCCACCGTTTTCCATCCTCTCCCTGGAGATCCAGCCTTTAAATCCAATTCCATTATGGACATTGTCCTCAGAACTAATCAAGGGACAATTCAAATGCCATGTATGATCTGACTTTTACAGGATTAAATGTGACGCTTCTTAATGGTAGATACGATGATTAATTACTCAGCCACTTAAGCTAAGAGCCTTATTATCATAGTCTACTCATTTCTCAGATTTACCTCCAATATCCAATTAATCATGAAGTCTTTTAAGCTTTACCTCCAAATTATTCTTTTTTTCCCCATCATCTGTCTTTCCAAGAAATTCTGTTAGTTTTTTGAAGCTAGGTAGTTATTGCTTCTTCATTTTTGTAGATACTATCTCCAGAGCAGGCCCACAGTACAAATTCAAAAAAATATCTGTGGGACTGAGTTAGACTGAACTGAATTGAAGACTAACATCAATAATTTTTTTAATAACTTTAAAATAACACACAAAAGAAACAGAATTTATGTAATAGTTCTTACAAGTATGCAATGCTGTTGGAATTTGGATCGATGCTATTTTAGAGGAAATGAACATAGTAAAAGATTATGTAAGAGACAAACTATTTCCCAATAATATTCTAAAATAATTAAAGGGAGTCTGAAGACAGATAACAAGCGCCATTTGGAAGTTTTACAATGATTTTGAGAGAAGTAATCTTCTAAACTCAAGAATCAAGATCTAGCAAAAATATATGTAATACTGTACCTTTTCTTTTTTTCCTAAACAATCTTTCTCTGTGCTGATGGTGAGAAGATCTGGGAAATTTCAGTTCCATGTAGTTCACTTGCTGTTCACCTGATATGACATTGCTCTGGTTTGTCCCGGGTGTTTTTTGCTTCTGTTGAGATCTGGAAAATTTCGGTTCTGTGTAGATGACCTCTTGTTTGTTTGCAGTATCTTTGTTTTGCTTATTCTTTAGCATTTTTCCTGAAAAGACTTGGATTGCTTCAGCTCAACCTTGATATCTTTCCGTGTTTCTGTGCAATATCAATGTACTAGAAATGTGAAAAAGAGTTAAGGGGTCATTGCATCAGATCAGTGAATAACGCATTCATTTTAATGTACAAGTAAACATCTAGGTACAATAGCAAAAGGGTAAAAAAGGGAGGAAATGAAAGACTGAATCTCTCTCCCAAAGTTGCAGTCCTTATTCAGAAGAAGAATTTTATTCTCCTTTAGTAAGAGTATATATTTCATTCCCTCTCTGAATCAGTTTTCGAAAGGAGTAGATTAAGAACTATATCCTTTTTTCCTTCTCAACATTCTCTGTATGGTGAATAATGTCAACAATGTGTAGACTATGGTTAAAGCATAACTACAATAGCAAAGAATTTTTTTTAACAATAGAAAAGAATTTTTTTTACAATAGCAAAGAATTAAGTATTTAAATTTGACATTAAAATTTTTATTTCAGATCAGGTTGACAAAGTTTATTGTATCACTGACATAATCCATTATTCTGTAGATTCTTTAGTAATAGTGGAAAAACTCATCTCTCTCAGGAACTGGGTAAATTCTACATTTGTAAAATAACCATGTATCTTTCAACCTGTCAGTCTACCATCCTTCTTCTACTCAAGCAGATCACATTTGCTTACATGCACAAACTCACGCATGCAGAGGTAAACACACAGACACCTAAATTAATGACAATGCCAATGAACCACCAAAAATGAACAAAAGAAATAAAAAGGTATAAAATTCAAAACATTTATTAAATCTTCAATGTCATTAATAAGGACATGCAAATTAAAAGACAAAAACTTCTACCTGTGAGAACACTAGATGACAACTGACACTTTTTGAACTGGCAAATGACTGTGAATACAAATTATCAAAATTTATTAAAATGCAAAATATGCAGGAGTTTTGCCATCAATTCTATTTTAAGCAATTTGTCTTTCAAAATATTTTTAAAATATTTAAATTTATGCAGCACTGGTTTTTTATCTTTATTTGCTGAGTTAAATTAGAAAAACAAAAAACAAGAAACAAGTTATCAACAGAAGTGTTTACAGTTAAGGGAGTTGTTAAATAAAGTAGGATACATCAGTACCCTAGTACATCATTAACTGTTTAATGTAACAAATAATATTGATACATAAAGCAAAATAATAGATTTGTAATATGTTATAATTTCAGTAGTTCCTCGTAGGTGCAGATTTGGCAGGTTTATATTGCTTCCAATTTTTATCGAAAGTTAAAGACCATGTGTGAAAAGCTACCTTAACTGTGAAATTTTGAGTATTTAAAAATATTGAATAACAAATAGTTTTTATACATTGGAACTTTTCTATGTCTATAATTACTTCCTGAAAGTAAATGTCCAAAAAACTGGGATAAAATTATTTTCAAATTAAGAAGTTTTTATATGTCCTCAAATTGTTTTCTGAAAGTTTTGACCTATTCATTTATTCACCAGCAAAAATATTTAATTTAAGCATACCATAAGAATGTTGCTGTTTAAATACTTGGCACAATTGAACTATTTTTTGTACCCGAGGAGGAAGAAAAATGGCTGTTGTTTTTGAGAATAAATAGTTGAATAAGCATGTTCTAAGAAAAGTTTGAGAGTGGTGGAATCTGATGGAATATTAGTTCAAACTGAAGCATTACATAGACTTAGATCACCAATTTCATAACACATACTTGAACAAATGTCAAATAATCCAAAATGTTAATTGTAAGCCATGAGAAAACAAAATTAATAAAAGATGAAGAGAAAGTATAAGTAAATAATTATAACTTTCTCATCACACACAGACAAGGGAGAGAGGTTGAACTATAGAAATATCATTTGTATTGCTAATGCAAAGATTTTTATCACAATCATATTAAAAGACATTCATTTCATCACTAACCAAAGAAATACAAACTAATGTATTAATGATATACATTTTCACCTGTAGAATCAGTAAACATTGACAAGCCAAATGCAACCACACTGAGTTGGATGATGTGCAGGGAAATAGGCATTCATTTACTTATAAGTACTTCTAGTTAATCTAAACCTTTCCCTTCAGGAAAGTAATTTTGTCAGTATGCATCAGAATCAAATAATGAACACATCTACGGATCCAACATTTCAAAATAATCAAAAAATGATAGATTATTTAATAGAAAGAGGCTACATCGTTGGAAAAATAAAACAACAGGAAACTTCTGAGACAAAGGAAAAATAAAAGGAATAGATGGGTTCACACTTCATGCCATTGCTTACAAAATGAGCATGTACCAGAATTATACAAAAATTATTTTTCCTAAACTATCATTTAAAACATTGTGAATTGATCGTTGAAATTAAC